ATCCCCAGAAACTGAGCACCTCTCCAGATGTGGTAGCAAATGGAAGTGTGCGTATGTGTGTCTGTGTGCATGTGCGTGCACCTGTGTTGTGTGTGTGCGTGTGTTGTGTGTGCATATGTGTGTTTGCATAGTATAAGAAAACTCTGATCATGGATGTACAGGGTCTGTATAACGTATTTTGTTGTGGTTCTCGTTTTGTTTGTTGTTTATTTGTTCAAGTCTAGAACCAACTATATCTGAGTTCCCATTCTAAGTTTTACCTGTTACCATCTATAGGATGCTTACGGATTAGTAGACTCAGTCCCTCCCTATATACTGGAGATAATTGTTTCAAAAAATTATGTGAGGTGTTATGAATCAAACACAAGTAAAATATCACCATGGCTAGCACATAGAGCTTAGAACTTTATATCTATATATGCCGACATATAAAAAGACCATGAAATTCTATTCTTCTCTGCAGAGAGCCTTCAGCGTACTATTTTTTACAAGATGTAGACAAAGAAAATGTGAAAGAAGCAGCACATTTTTCTGTAAGAAACTGAGTCTTCCTTGTCACATTTAAGAATAAACTTCACTACATTTGGGGACTCATTTTTATCATAGATGACTGAGGTATCACCTCTTGATAATTAACATTAAATTTTCAAAATAATAATTGGAAATGAATAGGAATCACAGCTTAAGCTTTGATACAGCAGTGGCTGCTATCAGCAAGGATCCTTTAATCTGGGTTCTAATTTCTCTAGTAATTAAGTTCCTGGAAGAAAATAAAATAACCTTTTAATTTTAATCTGATTAGAATAATAGACCTTTTGCCATGAAAAATTAAAAAGAGGATGCTCCATTTCCAAATCAATTTTGCGACGGAGATATTTTCATAGGAATTTTCTGAAAGGCTTTCTTGTTCTTCCATTTAGAATAACCGAAGATACTTTATAAGGGTCTTTCTCTGGACGTGTGATTATTTGGGATTGGATTTGGGGACTGAATAAATATCATGGTGATATCTGTGAGTTCCATGTCCTAAAACTGTATTTATAGAAGGGTTTGTCAAATTATAAAAGGCAAAAATCAAAATCAAAACCATGTCGTCCTATGGTTAAGCAACAATAAATCCTACTTTGTACTTTAGAAGTAAATGCCATGGTGAAGGGATGGTCTTCGATGCATCACTTCCATGGAAATACCCAAAGGGACCCGCTTTAGATGGAACTATTTCAGTAAACACTGCTGCTTGGCTGACAGCTAACTTCAGAAATAACCCTTTGCATGCATAGTGTCATTTTATAGTACAAGATATTTTATTTTGTGTTCTTCAGAATATTTGAAAGATAAGAAGTAACATGATTATTGTTTTCTCAATTTTTGTACGGACAGGAAAAATAAAACTCTGGGATTCAATGACCGAAGGTATTCTTGTCAGAAACAGAACTTGGACTTAAATCATGCCTTTTTCTTTTCGCAGTGAGGAACTATCTTATAAAGTAACCTATAAGTACAAAAAGTAGACCCTGATACATGAATATGGGTGCATATGGTTTATTTGACATTGGTCCAATAAATGCAACTGGGGAGTGGGGGGGAGAGGGGAGGTGAGACAAGTCGGGGTGGAAAGCCACAAAAAAGATCTTTAATAAGGAGATTGCTACTATGGGCAACTGAGTTTGAGCCCACTGGAGTCTCTCTGAGAGGCTGTCGTAATAATGCCCCTTGCACACCTAGTGTCTGGCCTATTCCTCTTTCTACATCATTGGAAGCCATTGAAATGTATGGGAGTTTTCTGCAGTTTTCTGCAGGGTGGGATGAAGAGATATACTTAATTTAATTACTTCATAACAGAGCAAGGTCAATTACAAATGGGCTTAGGATAATGGAGATTTCCAGGAAGACCTACTGACATTAAATGAAACTTAACAAAAAAAAATTTATCTACTGAACTTAATCCTTACACTTAGAGTTAGTCATATTGCACATTAGCAGTTAGAGCTGAGAACCATAGTCAGCAACTCTAGCTTGATTTTTATTGCTTTTTTATGTTTCATCATTTACTTGGCCATCTATGAAACCCAGAGTGCCAGATTCCTGGTCGTGATCACTCCCTCAGATTCATTCAGTTATTCATTCACACCTACTATGTACCAGACATGGTTTTAGCTGTAGGATTTTTAGTAGAGAATAAAACAGACAAAAGAGAGCTTATAATCAAGTGATAGAAAACATAAAATTCATAAGTATGCTAATAAATGAACATATAATAAATTTGGTAATGAGAGAAACTATAAAGAAAAATAAAGCTCAGAAAAGAAGAGATGTTGGAAGAGAGGGGGAAATGATATGTGATATAGAATAGCTAGGAAAGACCACCTCTCTGTTAAGATGACATTTGCACAGAGACCTGATGTGAAGGAGCAAAACCATGAAGATAATTCACACAAGGCATTCCAGATGGTTCACATGACACCTCCTAGTTCACCAAAAGGACTTCAGTCAGTACTTTTCGTGAGTTCAAAAAGAACAGAAAGGTGTTGTAGGGAATAGTGTGATCCCAATTATACATTTATGAAGATAATACCACTTTGGTGGGAGATTAGACTGTTAGTGCAAAAAGTGAAATCAGAGGAACCATTGGGGCCTATTGAAATTCATCTATTGTATTCATCTGTTGATGGACACTTAGGTTGCTTCCAAATCTTAGCTGTCGTTAACAGTGCTGCAACAAACAGGAGTGCAGATGTCTGTTCGGTGTATTTATTTCCTTCCTTTTGGGTATATACTCAGTAGTCGGATTGCTGGATCATATGGTAGACCAAAGATGATAGTGGGCTCATGTAGCCGTTTGCCTTATTACGTTATTTATATTATGCATACTATTACACTATTTGTGCTGTTGTATTCACTTGTATGCTAAATTTTATAATTTGGAAAGTCTTTTGCATTAATTACTTTAGAGCAGAGATTTTATATTCTTGATTGAAACAAAACGTGCTCAGTAGCCAGGCGCGGTGGCTCATGCCTGTAATCCCTGCAGTTTGGGAGGCCGAGGCAGGTGGATCTAAAGGTCAGGAGTTCAGGACGAGCTTGACTAACATGGTGAAACCATGTCTCTACTAAAAATACATAACTAGCCAGGTGTGGTGGTACACGCCTGTAATCCCAGCTCCTTGGGAGGCTGAGGCAAGAGAATCACTTGAACCCAGGAGCCAGGGGTTGCAGTGAGCCGAGATCCCACAATTGCACTCCAGTCTAGGAAACAAGAGTGGAATTCCATCTCAAAACAAAACAAAACAAAAAAAAGTGCTCAGTAAGCATTACTAAATTAAAATTTGAAAATCCTAAAAAAAACACAAAAAAAACAAAAAAAACACACACTTGAGTGATTATGTGTGATAATACTTACTATGATATGAGTAACTACTACAAACATGGGACTATCTTCTAAGCTCCAACAGCCCTTATGTTGTTCTTTAAAACAGTTTTTCTATTTCTTAGTATAAATCAACTAGTAATGTATGATTTTCCTATAAAGGAGCGCATGTAGTAAATAGCCTAGGCTTTATGAACTGTATAGTTTCCAGTGCAGCTGACTCTTGCTGTAGGGCACATGGTATGTAAATAAATGTACTTGGCTACATTCCAGTAACATTTATATGGACACTAACATTTGAATTGTATATTAACTTTCACATGTCACTAAACATTATTCTTCTTTTTATTTCTTTTCAACCATTTAGAAAAGTAAAAACTATTCTTAGCTCACAGGTTATAGAAAAACAGGTGGCAGCAAGCCAGATTTCAGCCACAAACTGGTTTTTCAGATTTCTGGTATAAATTATCAGGAGCTTGGAACCCTGATCTGTGCGTCATTGATTTGCTCTCATTCTATTTTTGGATACCTTTATTTGCTAGAGTTCTCTTTCTTTTGTGAAACCGAAGCACGCCCTCATGTAACTTCTACCTATGGATTCTACATTGTGCCATCTGAAGAAGAATAGCACAAAATACCCCCCAACCACCACCTTGTCATAGCACAGGCCTTCACAGAGTCCATTCTGGCCCTCTTGGTTTTCTCTGCTACTAAGTGTTAAACTCTCTCCATAAGCTTATGTTTCCTGGACACTCTCCCCTTTTTGCTTTTTAATTGTCTGATTATTCTTCATAAAATGAACACAAACTAAAGATTTAAGCTACTGTCCACCTAATGGATAATTCAATAGAATTTTTGTTTCCAAAGATTGTTGTATCAGGCAACAATGAAGTGCCATTGCTGGGGATATGCATTCTTGGTTTATTTTGCTGTTTTATTTAAATGTCATGTACTCTATTATAAAGATAACTCATTTGTAAATGATCAGATAATCCTATTATTATTTTCCATGACTATTGGTGGTCATTTAGTACTTGTAGCTGCACATACACATTATTATATAGTACTTAATTTCTATAAACTATACTCACCAAATGTGTTTATTGAGAGAGAACAAACTATACAGAAAAATAAATATTTTAAAAACAAAGACAGACATTAGGTAAAAGCCATACATTCATTTTCTTGTCTGAGAATGAGATCTAGCAAAGTTAACCAGAAAATTAATTACTAAGTTAAAATAATTCATAATTCACTAAGTTAAAATAGCACATAATCATAAAATGTGCTCAGCGGCTGGGTGCGGTGGCTCACGCCTGTAATCCCAGCACTTTGGGAGGACAAGGTCGTCCAAATGACTTTTTTTCAACCCATTTCTTTCCCTAAGTACCCAGTGGTATTAATACTGCTTGTCTACTTGGTTGGGTTATATTATGCCTTATTCAGTTAGGTGGAGTATAAAACCACTTATAATGTTAAAGAGACATGAGACATCAGTTTGAATTGTAAGCAACACTGTATTTTCCTAGAGAAAAATACTTTTATTTCTACAATCCTGATTTGTTGATATTAGAAATTGTGTTCAACTAGGTAATTTTAAGAAAAGAAACAACTTTTATCTTGTACTTACCAGGTTCTGGGTTGAATGATGGACAGTGGCATGAGGTTCGCTTCCTAGCCAAGGAGAATTTTGCTATTCTCACCATCGATGGAGATGAAGCATCAGCAGTTCGAACTAATAGTCCTCTTCAGGTTAAAACTGGCGAGAAGTACTTTTTTGGAGGTAAGAATGCCATTGCTTTTTGGTTACTAATCCATTACAAAAAAAATGAGGTTTCAAAATGAAGTTTGATTATGAAGTATTTATATTTGACTCAACTGACTCAGTAGATCTCAGGATAGAACCAACAAACTCTAATTCCATTGAGCAAAAAAAGGAAAAAGAAAAAAATATTTGTTTGTTTCTGATGAAGATATTAAGGTGATGTCACTATATTCTTTTGGCCCAATTTAAATAATTGAAGTATAACAAAGGAGATTTTAAATTCATCCTCATAATCCTCAAAAGTCAGGTCCTTGGATTATTTGCTGGTGACCTATTGCTATGTAACTAATTATCCAAACCTTAGTGTCTTCAAGCAAACATTTATTATCTCACAGTTTCTCTGGATCAGGAATTCAGGAGTAATTTAGCTGAGCGAGTCTTTCACGATGTTGACTTCAAACTGTTGGCTGTGGCTGCATCATTTGAAGACTTGTCTGCTTCCAACAGGTCTCACGTACGTGGCTGATAGTGCTGGCTAGGATGCCCTAGTTCTCGGTGGCCTTGGATTCTGTAACACCTTCCTTCTTCAAGTAGCCTCTCCTGGGGGTGACTGGGCAGAGAAAGAGAGAGGGAAAACAAAAGAAAGAGAGGAGGGGAGGGGAAAGCCAGTAAGTCAGGAAGTTCTCCAGATAAAAACCATAAGTAGTTTTTTTTTTTTATAAATAATCCAATTTAACAGTGATATCCCATAACTACTATTATTTTCAGCTTGTGAGAAGTGAGTTGCTAAATCCTATCCACAGTTAAAGGAAGGGGATTTCACAACGGCATGACTACAAAGAGCCATTGATTCCTGGGTACCATTTTAAAGGTGCCTACCACAGTCTACCTTATAGGAGAAGACATGTGGTCACAAACATCTTGGTTCTTAAGTAATGAAAAGATTAGTAAAAAGAATATTATCTTATGAGAAATTCTACTATGTGTTAAAAAGTATTGTAGCAAAGACCTGTCATATTTTCTAACTGGAAAAATGTGTCCTGTCAGAAAATGATTTTTTTCATAACTAATTATGAGGACATATTTTATTAAAGTGCTAGGCACATTGTTTAGATCAATACATCTTTTATTAGATTATTGCCTTTCCTGTCCTAAATCATGCAATGTGAGATGTAAAAAATAAATCACATTCTTAGAAAAGGCTTTTATTTAAGCTTTAAAATCTATATGTTACATATTTGCCTCTGAGAATGTTTATATTTACATATCTATTATTTGTTTATATTAATAGTTATATATCATTGTTTGTGTGTGTGTGTGTGTGTGTGTGTGTGTTCTAGTTCTTAGAGTAAGGTGACATGAGAGCAGCCACTTTGTTTATCTTGTACCCTGCTATATTCCTTAAGGTCCTAGAAAAAATCCCGGAATGTTGTAGATGAACAATAAATATTTGTGAAAGAATTAGTAAATTATATAAAATAGGCAAGACATCACTTTATTATGAATTGCCTAGAGAGGAAACAGAGAAGACCCCAGGAGATTTACTGACTTGCCACTGAATTTGCAGCTAGCACCTGGATTTAAGTTTTTGGAGTCCTATACCACAGCATTTCTCCCCATCTAATTAGTGACAACTTAGAGACAAAAATCATGAACTAGGGCTCTCCTTCTTTAATCTTCCATAATATTTGTTGGAAGTTAAGACAACATGATTTTAAGAAGACTCTCAATAAATATTTGATGAGTAAATGAAAGTCAAACAAGCTTTCTTATGAGTGAATGAACTGGACATATTGACGTGAGAAAAAAAACAACTCAATAGCCAAACCGGTTACCCTCCAAACAAAAAATTCAGTAAGATTGGCTTATGGCCAACAGTTTTCATTGCTCTGATAGTAAATAGATCCCAGTTGTCAGTGGGAAAGCTACTGATAATCTCTACTGATCCCTTGACTGGAATATTTTTGGCCATACATGAGCTCCCTGAATGCCCAAGGCCAGTTTTTATTGATTTCAATCTAGAGGGGCGAGCAAATAGCTGTCACCACACATTCATGGCATAAAGTTTATAGGAGATGAGGTCTTGATGGTGTGCTATTTACTATCAGTTTACAGATTTTCGTTTTCGAGTCCAGCAGTCAGGAGAATATCGACTTTCTCTTGGGTCTGTGGTCTGCCTTTAGGACATGTTAGCTAATGATCATGAAGCTTGTTTTGTTATATTGTCATTAGCTGAATCCTGAGTGTGTAAGAATCACGAGAAGAACTCGTTGCCATTCTAACGCTCAGGCCCCACCTCTGGAACTTTGAAATTCAAGAGGATGACAAATTGAAGAATTCGAAACTTCAAGTGATTCTGATAAACAATCTGAGAAACAGAATTATAGATTGACCTTAGCCAATTTGCACACACACATTTTAGATTCATTTTGTAAAACATCGTCAGTCACTGAAAAGTTTGGGATGCATGAGAATTAGCTACTCTCCTATAGCTTTGCCCCCAGGGGGCAAAGGAATGGAAGTCACAGGACAAGTTATGATGCGCATAAACACATTTATTAAATGAACAAGTATTACCAAGGAAGCACAACACTGTTAACAAATGTTCTTCTGCAAGCTCAGTGAGGTCCCAGCTCTCCTTGAATAAAATGTTTTCCTGAAGCAATGACGATGAATGGTGGGATTCAGCTACACCTAGAGCTAGTGCTAGGTGACAGAAAGCCTCCTCAGCGAATAATCGCTGGCACAGGATCACTAAGGGATCCTAACTCCAGAAGCATTTCTGAGAACTCAGGTTACAGGCCTCACCAGAATCTTTCACCATCTTAACACAAGGCTGGGTGTGTCTCTCAAAGGTGTTGTGCCAAACCACATACCTTTAGTGCCTTTAAGTTCACTATTGATATCTCCTTTCTAACATTTCATTAACATTTACATTTATGCTATCTAACAGACCGCTAATTTCACCAAAGAAAACCCAGTTTGGTATTAAGTTCATCAGAGGACTTGTTGATTCAGTGAATTAGGTTGATATGAGGAATAAATAGCAAAAAACTAAGAGTCACCCCCTCTGGGGTGGGTGTACTGTTTCTGCACTAAAACTCTTGATACCGCTTACTTGTGGACTCCTGATCAGAAGAGGAACTGCCTCTGGATCGCAACTTTAAGTAAAATACAAATGCCCACAACTCTATACCGTCTGTGCTGGAAATTTTAAAGTAGGATTCAAATATTATAATAAACACATCTTAAGATATACTAGTATAGTGGAAAGGAGAATTGACTTTGTCCTAAAATACAAGCTTTGGAATCCTGCATACCTGATTTTGAATCTGGCTTTATCACTTAATTAGTAGATCCCTTAATACTGTATCTTACTTTCTTCATCTATTAAATGGCAATAGAATCTGTTTTCTGATCACTGTGTGGCGTAAACTTAAACCTGGGGTCTGACCCTAGGGAATGCTAAGTGCTGACTGATTTTCCAATGCATCTTGAGTCTTTCTTTTAACTCTGTGAGAGACACAGCCTCTCAAGGAACATTGGAGACTTCAGACCATTATGTATTTAATGGCCTCTCACCAACTTGGACACCACTGAAAGTGTTTCTTCCCCCACAGTCACTGAAGAAAAGTACTTTTCCTGCTCACTGAAAGCCACAAGAAAAGACTTTCCTGCCGTCCTACACTCTGTTTTGTTTGCAAACCCTTAAACATGTCCACATTTTGTTTCTTTTGAAGTTAAGTCCCGGTTGCCTAGCTTTCTTTGCAGCCCAGGCTGGGTCGTTTCACACCAGTGTGCCATTTTATCTCTGTGCTTGCTCCCTGCTAATCCCAGCAAAGTTCTTAGTTCTCCTTTGTAACGTCCATGATCAGATGATGTTTAATCACCAAGAATTCTTTTGCTTTTTTTTTTTTTCTTGGGAATAAGCAAAGAAAGAGATCCGTTATTTGGGATGTTTCTTCAGCAAAGTATGTTTTAGCTGCTTTAACGTGTTTTATTTTCCTCCAACTAGAATTTTTTTAGATAACACTCCATTGATGTTAATAATCAAAAGAATGTTAAACACAATAATTACATTTACCTATTGACTGTTGACGTGGTAATAAGCTTTCTGATACAGGCCAGAACCCATGGTTACGAGAGAGCAGTACGATTTTTAAATTTCTAAATTTTCTTTGTTTTGGGCATTTTTATTATCTCTTTTGTTTTCATTAAAAGAGAAAGGAGCTGTAGGCTGAAGAGGAGAGATAAGAAGCTTCTAGAGCCAGTCTTATTGGAAGGGGAGTTCTAAGGAACTCGGTGGGGAAAGAGGCAGGTTTTAGGAAGGTACCAAAGCAAGTGGTGAAGGCAAGATAAAAAGAGGGCAGTGGAGCTGGCCTGAGTTTGATAGGATTTGTGTTAATAAAGTTTAATAAGAGGGCACGTCTTTCCAGCTCACCAGTATATAACTGTCTTGGTCAGTTTTGGCTACTATAACAGAATACTATAGGTTGAGTGGTCTAAACACCAGAAATATGTTTTTCATGGTTCTTGAGGTTGAGAAGTCCAAGACCTAGGTATCAAGGTACACGCAGATTCCATGTCTACTGAGGGCACATAATGAGAAGCTTCAGACAACCATTTTCTTATTGTATGTTCTCATTGGAGAAAAAGAGAGAGAGAGAAAGAGAGCAAACACTCTTAAGTCTCTTCTTATGAGTGCACCAATCCCATCATAGGGGTTCCACTCTCATGACCTAATTAACCCCCAATGGCCCCACTTCCTAATACCATCCCACGGGGGCTTAGGGTTTCAATATGTGAATTTGGAGGGACACAAACACATAGTCTATAACAATCGCCTCTCAATCCTCATTGAGGTAGACCATGGATATTAAATATTAGGTTGTGCAAAAGTAATTGGTGTTTTTGCCATTGAAAGTAATGGCAAAAACGAGCTAACTAGATAGGTATGTAAACATAGATTTTTATCAAGTAGTTATGTTGTAAAATAATTAGGGGATGTGGTTTTCAGG